GAGAACAATATTCACAATATAGATTACATTATACAAGATATATACTTATTACCATATGCATTTTTGTATACAAATACAATCCATAAAATCCTATCGTTTGACCATAGTATAATAAATTAGGTTATATAGTCTTGGCCAGTTTTAGTACTAAGGAAATCACAAAATCCTATTATTCAGAATATATGAAGATATCAAGACAAGCCAAGAAAGATCCCAATGGACTCAAGCCTCTAATAAATATGAAAACACTTACCTCTTTTCAAAAAACATACTTATAAAAGATCTGGGAAACTTTGATCAGCTGTATCAATCAAAAACATATGGGCTATAATCCAAATTAATGGGAAATCTTATTGTGATCGCAAAACCAATGGTTATCAGAGAGAATAACTGTTTGTGAGGCTGGTGATTATTATTAGTATCATGATGGGAACTATAGAGACAGACTAGAAATTTGAGAGAAGTAATTTAGAAAGTAACAATTAAGAAAAACCCCTGTAGGTTATATTTGAAGAGTGGTTAAGAATAAAGCAATGGAAGACCATTGGTTGATTAACGAAACAACATCATTAAATTATCAGGATGTTAGTACAAGACTATTGGGCCTGTACATATCAGAGTACAACCAGCCTTCTGAAAACTAAACATGGTAAGGATCTACTATAGTACACACAAACAAGAATGTGAAAACAAAGCATCAAGAACTAAGAAATACACATCTCAAGTCCTCTGAAAAATAAAATAATATAAGTCTCATAGTATATTTTAGATGCTATGTAACCTGAGCACAGCAAGGCAACTGATAAAATGGTGTCATATTGTGACAAAATTGGAGTATTCAATTGGATAGATGGTATATAAAATAGTTTAGATGAATCTCTTATATAATCAATACTAAACTATTGCAAAATACTTAATAAATTCACTTCAGTCAAGTTGGATTTTTTTTAAAAAAAAAACTATTTAAAAACAAGAGTACTTTATATAAATCTATATTCAGTAGTATAATTTACTATTCAAAGATCCATAACTTGAAGAGTATTTAAATGTTACAATAGGAAAGTCAAGTAATAGAACTATACAATAGGCTAAATAATTTAGGATCAACAGGGATTACAACAATTATTAGACTTAAACAAGTATAATTAAAAAATTGAAAACCTCTTAATTTATTGATTTGCAAGTTACCAAATCACTTATCAGATAAAGATAATTTTACACTTCTAGTGATTAAATTGACAAAAGACAAAGAAATAACTTTTCGAAGTTAAAAATAATATATATCTTTGAATAAAGTAAGGAAAATAGTTTGATTAGGAAATACCTTACATCAGAAGAATACAAAAAACTATTTTATTACTTTGAAACAATAGACTAATATATTTGAATTTTGATAATCAATCAAGAATTTAAGAAAATAATAGATTAGTAAATATTTTGACTTTTATAAAATATAAGCAAAAAACCTATTCCATAATAGTTTTAGATCATAATTAAACACCTTTTAAATGAATAGTTAAAGTAGCTTATAAGATCTTGAAAGAAAAACTATATAAAATAGAAATCAGAATACTGTATATCAAAATAAGATCTAATTGGGATAAGTGACTAAAACTATAGATAGTGATAGGAAGTAAAAGAAATAAAATAACTTGAAAAAAGCTAAGATAAGAAAAAGAGGAATATAAAATAATAGTAAAACATTTTACATATTGTAGTATTAATAATGATCAAGAAATTAACTTACAAAAATGTCTTAGATGTTCAGAAAATACAATATAAAATAGCAATTGTATTATAGAGAGAGATATAAGAAAGATATATTTAGTATTATATTTTAATACAAGAAAATCTATTAAAAAAATATGTGAACCAAAAATCTTCAATCTTAAGATAGTACTAAAAAAAGGATTCCAGAAGTGATTTATAATAGCCAAAGCTCTTTTATGATTCAAAATAATAAAATAAATTATATAGATATTGAAATCTAAAAAAAAACTATTATTAAGAAAAATATTAAAAAAGGAATATATCAAAATCATCTAATAAAAATACTTTAATACAATCTTGAATTCAAAAAAAAATTAATTTTATATTTAAATGGACATTTATTAATCACAAAAAAAAAGGAATAAAAATAAAACCTGCTTGAATTCAAATAAGAAAAACAGAAAGAGAAAGTAAATTCCAAACAAGAATAAATAAATAGCTTTTTTCTATAAGAGCTGGATTGATAGCAATTGTAATGATACTTCTGGTAGTTTCTATTGATAACATAGTTGAGATTTGTATAGATAGTCAAGCCTGTATTTTCAAATTAAAAACAATAAGAAAAAAGAATTCAAGAAAAATGCATAAGAGATAGTTAAAGGTGAAAAATTGATTTCTTTGAACATAAATGGCAAAGTTAATAAAAAAAAAAACATGTGATACCTGTGATGCAAGGTGTGTCTCATTGGTTTCTAGGATAGATCTAATAATTAGAGCAAAGTAGTAATTTATGTAGCTCACATTATTTAATTTCTTTATTATATTATCATATCTTATCTATATTTAGCTAGCAGGTTATCCAAGTGAGCAAATCTGGCATATTGACCTAATTTCACAAATCTGGCAAATTTGGTTACTTTGGTTACTTTGATCACCAAATAATTAATATTAAATTATATATATAAAGATCAACTGTTCAAAGTAGTTGACCCAAGGTTTTACCTACTGAATTTTCTTATCGTTGACATTATATATCTCTAATAAAACTTCTAATTAAATCAAATTATTCAAAGCCTCTTTCAATATATTTGTGTAATCTTTACTATCCTTGAATTATCAACTCTAATATACCATAACCAATATATTCTCTTTCAATTTAAAATAGATTACTGTTATAATTGTTTTGTCTATCTATCTGATTTAAAGGTTATTGGATAAGTTGATAATATTATTAGTTAAAGGACTACACTAACTTAAAAAATATGATGAGTTCACTAAGTTAGTTTGGGCTAAACAAAACTAAGTCTAAACTAGATATTCTAAGTCAGATTTAGGGAACAATATTATACTTTCCTAATAATTTGGCATAAAGCTTTTAAGTCAATCAGGATTATTGCCAATAATTTATCACTATTAATTATCTTAAAAAATGATAAATTGCTAAAGTTGGCACTGGAAAAAAAGAAAAAGGGAAATATAATTCAAAACTCTTCAAAAAATTTTTATTTCATTTCGCAATTTCCTCTCAAAAAGGGTTTACCTAATTGAAATATTCTCTAAGCTTTATGATGTTTAAGAAACTTAACTATTTCTAAAAGTGACTTTATTAGTAAGGAAATATAAAAACTTTTTACAAATATCTTTTTTGTGTGTAGTCAAAGAATCAGCGAAAAGAGTTTTAAAAAAAATTTTTTTTTTGTATATTTAATTTTTTATTTATAATATTTGCAGTTAAACTAAATTATAGTTTATTAATTAATTAAAAATATAAGTATATTTTTATTTAAGCAGTATAAATATATTAATGTTAAATATTCTTATTTATAGTAATTTAACAAACTTATTATTGATAATAATAGTTTTTAAATTTGATCTTAAAACAATATTTTATTTCATAATAAAATTTAAATAAATATTTTTTTAATTCATTATTTCATTGTTGATAGATTTTCAACATTATATATTTTATCAAGTTATTGAAATACAAAAAACTATAAAAAAAATAAGTATGAGAAGAGAAAAAAGAAATCAAGTTTTAAAAAAAAAAAATCAATTTTTTTTTTCTAAAAATAAAACAGTAGAAGATTGAAAATAATACAAAATTCAAAAAATAATTAAAAAGATTATAGATATTTGAATAATTAAAAAGTTTGAATAATTTATAATTATTAAAAAAATTTTAAAAAATTTATAATAATAAATTATAAGTAATTATTTAAGTGATTAAATGATAATCTAAGTATAAAGAAAGCAAAACATTATTTTTTAAATTATATCCAAAGAAGATATACTTTATAGATATATGAGTTAATATGTGAAATTCATACATTATGCAAATATAATAATCTATTTACAATAAAAAACAAGTTATATAAAAAGGTCATTAAATTAATTTGAATCAAATAAAACAATGTTTAAATAAAATACTCTAAATCAAATTTGAGAACCATATTTTATTTTTTGAATAGATTAATATTTAATTTTTATTTATTAAAATTATTATTATTGATTTATTATTATAAATTATTTTAAAGAATAATAAACTATTAAATTTAAAAAGTCTTTAATTAATTTGATAAAAAGAGATTTATTTAATTAAAATATTTTTTAATTTTAAACTATTTAAGAAATTCAGTTATTTCTAAATAGCAAAGTTTCTTTAAAAATATTTAAAACAAGTAATTTTTCAATTGACATATAAATTTGTTTATAATATTTTTTATAGTAATATTATATTAAAAAAATTTATTTGATTAAAATGAAAAATTTTTTCAACAATTTTATTTGATCAGAATAGGAATCCAGAAACTTTAATTTTAATAAAGTGAAAACTTTAAGAAGATACAAATAATAAAAATATATACTGTATATATATTTTCATTATAAAAATTTTTATAACAATCTATTTTAAAAATAAAAAATTTTTTAAATACAATACTTTTTTTTTAATTATTAAGAATTAAGTTTTGAATTATAAACAAGAATAATAGTATATTTTAATATGCTTTTTAAATTGGTTTAAAGATAATAATAGGATTTTTTTAATCAAAAAAAAAAAAAAAAATCAGAAAAAACTTTTATGTAGATATTATTTTTGTATACAGTAGGATTGGAGAATTGCTGAAAAGAGTTTTTATATCACATTTTTAGTTTGCAAACAAGTATTTTAAAAATTCTTACAATAATTTCATTATTAATTTATAGGTTTTATTATTGTTCTTTTTATTTTTAATAAAGATAAAAAAAAAATATGCGTAATTTTTATTATTTGATTCGAGAGTACTTGAAAAATGGAAATTGTTAATGATATCGAGAAAAGTTTTAGTATTTTAGGTAATAATAGACAACAAGTATTATGTAAGCGATGTCATTAACTACCGATATATCAATAATAGTAAGTTCATAATAATAATAAAAAGACAAAGACCTTTATTAAACTTTTCTATTGGATTTTTGAAAGAGACAACAAAATCCGATAACCAATTTTCTTTCCTTTCTATAGGGGTTGTACGAACGATAGTTTGAGTGAAATGGTTATGCAATTTCATCCTTTTCTTTTTTTTTATTGATTTTTTTCTCTTTGAATAGTATCAATAAAGCTTTGATGTATATACGGTAATTCCTGCAAGAAAAACTAGTCAAGATCTATAGTAATAAATTGATTTATATTCGGTATTCAAAAAATGAAAAAAAAATAATGAAAAAAACAAACAATTAATAAAGAATATTGAAATAGAAAACCGTTTGTGTATGGTATTGAAATAGCAAGCGATTTATTCTAATAGTATTGAAACCACAAACAATTTATTGATCAAGGTGATCTTTTGAATTATCCAATTGTTCAGTTTTAAAAAAAAAACTTTAATTATTCGAAACTCACGAATCATCTTTTAAACGTATCCATCCATACGCTGTATACATTATGGCGTGTCGTAAAGTAAACGGGCAAAGAATTTTTGTCAACGCTTCGCGGGTGAAGGGGGATGAATATTTCATTCAAATTTTAAATAATAAATAACCAATAATTTAAATTGTATAGACGGACATAGCTTGTTTCTCCGATAAAAAAATAGTAATCTTTTTTCGTTGTGGTTTTAATTTTCCAACGTATTGAAAGGCATTGCTCATCTTAATTTGATGTTAAAATTACCGTATGAACCTTACCGATCGAAAATTAAAGAAGTCGAATCGTGGGTTTCTTCCCGGTTATTTAATCCAAGTTGGAGAGACAACGTTTTTTATGAATACACGGTATGTTAATTTAACGAGAAATTCCCTTATCAATTCAATTGCCTGCAATGGAAGTTTTATCATTTCAATAAAAATAAATCAATCCATCGATTAAAGTTATTTAAACATTGCAAACAAAGGGAATTTACTTTCGCACATACTGCATCGCACGCACGCATTACCGTATCCCATTGATTGATCATTCGGCGCCTTAATCAAGGGTTCCATTCTCTTCTATTTGGGATCAGATGAAAAAATAGATTCCCGAAAGGGCCAATCCGTTGACGCAATAGATAATATACAGTGCGTATACAGTGTATACAGTGTATGATAAGACTATACGTGCATTCGTTGCAAATGGAGTTTTATGACTAAAAAATTTCAAAAAACTTTGTATACGGTGTACAATATGGGCATAATCATATTATAAAAAAAAAAGAAGAAACAATCTCAATTCATCGAATTTTTTCCTGATTAATTGGCAATAAGGTGCACGCATATGGTTTCAAGCTTTTAATAAGTTAAAATTAATACAAAAATGGATCATTAATAATCATAGAAAGAAAATATGCTTTTGGTATTGTGAATCGAAGGACCTTTCCATAGATGACTATGGCTAACTCGTCCGGATACTTTATCGGAATCATGGATGCATCAACAATAGACAACCTCGAGTGAGACCCCGATCTTTAAAACCAGTTGCGTGCACGGTTCGCAAAAGTCGGCACTGATGATGTGACATGCGTCCCCCCGACCAACGTTCGCAATAACAACTTTACTCGAGACCAATTTTGAAAAAGAGAAACACGCGACGCACAATATGAAGTGGTTGTCCTTCCTTCATCGCGAGCACAGACGGATGCCAAGATTACACGGTTTCACGCTTCATTCGTTCACTCGTTCGTTCACACGGGAAAACAAAGAGTGAATCAATGATTACTCGAATGGCTTTAGGGTCATACGGAATGTCCCCAATGCTGTGGGCAGCCTTCCTCTACCTTGATCCCTTTTACGGACTCTTTCTTACTTCCGATTCAAACGCACCTATTAGTAGCGTGAAACAAGAGGTCACGTCTCTTTTAGAGTGCATAAATAATATAAATCTATAGAAGGCGAGCCCAAACTAAAATTGAAATGAATATAGATAATTTTAATGTCTTATCACGAAAGAAAATTGAAATTGGCAATGATTGTCAGTATTTCGGTGCATGCTCGCGGTTAACGAACTTTCAGGGGTTATATTAAAATTTTTATACTGGGTCTTTAAAAATGTTAGATCATGACCATATAAAATCTTTAATGTAAAACATGTTTATCGTTATTTTGTATGTAATTTGTTCGATTGGCATTTTTCATGCTCACCGAGTTGGCACCGAGTCAGGGTGATTATTGGGGAATCGACGATCTTAACAAAAGTAACAGGCATGCCTTAAATCCCTGATGTCCTTTGACCACAGAAAGCTACATGAATGACCATTATCACGAACATCCACTTGTCACCCTCGGTCCTCTTGACCGACCGATTGACTCAGTTCCACCCTTGGATCCGAGTAGGAAAAAAGCAAAAAATGTAATGAATGAAAAAAAAAAAAAAAAAAAAATAGAACCCTTAAAGGTCAGAATTCGTGGGACGCCCATTTCCCCGAGCATACGGTCAGCAGGAAAGGGGGGGGGAACACTGTGAGAGAAGTGAGGATGAAAATTTGCGAGACTTGATTATTGCGTGAGTCGGTGTAGTCATGTGGGTTGGGGATAATGAAATGACGTGACGTGACGTGACGTGGTGGTCGGTCTATCGTGCGCAATGCGAGCAATCCATTGAAAGGGGGACGAAACGAGTTTAGCGTCAACGGTGTCATTGTGTGTACGGGAAATTATCACAAGATGTCGGTCTCACTCCAATTATTATTTCAATGTCAGGTCGTTGTCTGGGAATTCATACTGAATACTAAATGCATTCAGAATTCACTTTATAATAAAACACGCACACGGTAAGCTGCATGATTCTTTCAATTTGGGATTGAGGTAGCGGGCATATCATCCTATTGTTTACATTCTCCAATAATGTTGGTCAAGTCCATTGGTCAGCAAGGGGTTAAAATGGGGGCCAACAAGAGTTAAATTAAAAATTATCAAAGCAAGCAAAGTTCAAGTCTGATTCCTAGGAAATAATAATAATAATAATGATGATGATGATAATGATGATAATATAAAGGGTTCGCCTTATTCAATAAGGGAAAATCATAATCTGAAAGATATTTTAGATGAGTTATTATTAACCACGAGCTCATCCGAGTTATACGGGAAATCCAGTGCACATTAGGAAAGTAATTACCGAGTTTCCTTATAACGTAACTTCTACTGTAAGCGTTTATGTAATGATTCGGTCTCTCCACGAGCACCAATGCGTAATGAGACTGTGATTATCAAACGTCAAATTCATTGGTAATATGCACACGGTCTTTGACATCTGCAAGGCCGGAGGGAGGCCTGCAATTGGGCACGTGCGGACAACAGACACATCACAACTGCGTACGTGTACGCAGCATTGCCGAGCGGCCGTTGTCACTGACAAACGTGATGAATTAACTCCAATGGGAAACCCGCTTACACTGATATGATAGGGTTCTCGTCGGGGAGATGATCGGGCGAGAGGGGTTTAGGTTTTCATTCAGGGATTACTAATTACCATACATACATACGGTGCGTGTGTGCACTATTGGCTTTATTATATCAACCGCCCGCCGAGATCGGATTCGGGAGGTTGTGACTCTATTTGGATTAGCGCGTTAGATCATTTTAAACGTCCGAGGTAGGGAATTTGACATAAATGGGTGGCGCCTTAGGGCACAATCAGAATCCTCATTTTTCCGTCTTAATTAAAAACCCTAACGGTCAAGGTGATGATGACACTTTAATAATTGACCGAGTGACCATGCAATTGGTGATATCAATGATCGAGTGTATGTGCGGCTAAAAATATGCACAGGACGTATGCGCATTCATTATTAAATATTGCTTTAATTGGTAAACGACGGCATATCGGTATTATTAAAAGGGCATTCCTCTGTCGTCCCAGGATTCGCTTGCAGAGAGATGAAACTCACAAGTGTGTGTGTCGTTTTTTTATCAACGATTGCTAATTCGCATCGTCGTCATCGTCATCATCATCATCATCATCATCAACATCAACATCATCATCAACATCATCATCAACATCATCATCAGCCTTTAGACCGGTGACAATGACAAACTATTGTGTCGATTGATGAACGAATTAATATAATTACTGCAATTGATTGATTGATTGATTAGTTAATTTACTTGATAAGCGAGTGAATCCGGTGGGTCTATTCGACGAATTAAAGTGAATTGGATTGCCCGTGGGTCATCTCCACCAGGAAGAGGTATTTTTTACGGTCGGAATTTTTGCCACAGCGGATTCATCATAATCTTCGTCGTCGTCCACCCATCTTTGAGCACGTGAAGTTAAACGCCAAGGCATCCGAGAATTCAAGTAACCTTTAACTTCAATCCGTGCAAGTACGATACTTGCATAACGATGGATGCGCTCATCCGACAAATCCAGTTACATCGGAATCTACTGCTTAGATCACACCTGTCGTACGGTGCGTAAAATTTACAGCCACCAAAACCGTTAACAGGTCTGTCGCATGGTTTGGACCCCGTAACGTCGATTCCTCTCTCGATTAAGCCACAAAAAAAATAAAATAAAATAAAATAAAATAAAAAAAAAACCAACCGATCAATCTAAGATTCATCGCGGCGAGCGCCCAGCATCAAACTCCTATTTCCCAATTAACAATAACTAGTTCAGACAGTTCAGGGACATCCAGCGCACTAGATGTTACACGATGCGTATGTGGATGAAGGGCGTACGCTGGTTGGTCACAACATTACTTGCCAAATTCGGGCAAGTCTTGTCCCGGATAACTGGCACGCATGTTACGAAAAGGAAAAAAAAAAGCCATCTGAGAGATAATGTTGAGGCGACAGAGAGGAGACTAACACGGAACATTCCGCTTTCGGTTTTTCATAAGCCTCGTTGCTAAGGTGAATGAATTACGGTAAAAGACAACGGTGATGATTTTGGTGGTGTTATCGAATATACCAGAGGATTTGGTCGTACGCTTGCAGCATAATAAGAGAGGGCAGTGCATTCGTTTTTTTTGTGTCGTAAACAGTTGACCGGATATGGTAGATTATATAATATTGATTTGGTGAGTGTAAATACGATTTACGTAATCTCAATATGTTGAAGAAGGTCGCTCCCACCCAACTTTCATTGTCTAGACCATGCAGAGTATCCTGATTTTTGTTTTACGTGCGCATGTATCATACACGCAAAATGAGAAGAAAAAAAAAATTTCTACCAAAAGTTCAATGTGTGCGTGCGTGCGTCTGGAAAACACGCAAATATTCAAATATTTAGATCATGATGTCTTCCTTTATTCCTTTTTTTTTTTTTTTCTTTTTTTTTTTTTTTGTTTTCACCAATCTTCTTATGACTCAGCCACTTTAATTACACAGCATCGGCAGAATGTTTAAATGAACATTTATTCTCTCCTAAACCTGAAATTATTCAAATTCCTTGTTCGCAAACAAAACGCACAACAATGGGTGCGCTCAACGCTTTTTGTCCCTTTGAATGTGGGAAAGAATGGTCCATGCAAAGAAAAGATTCCTCCCTCCGCCTTGCCAACGTGAAGGTTCGATTATCGCTTCCATGAGCGAGCGGTCCCTACACCCTTAATCATGTACGATGAGCTCACAGAGATGGTTAACCTTTTTTGGAAGTCCTGGGTGATTACGGTGCAAAGCTTTACAAGGACCTCCACGTGTCACGTGGAGGTCAGAAATGAAGTAAAAATCGGCAGCACTTGGGGGATCTCTCTTCTTACTAAAGAAGTGTTGTCACGGAGAATAATTATCTCACGTTTTGTGCGAATCGGTATGTAAACAAACCTGAAAATCGAGGCGAAGACCATCAGAGATGAGCGGGGGAACAACAAAGCATTGAGCAAAAAAAAAAAAATATACTGTATATAAAATAAGATAACCACCACCTGCATAAGAGAGATTAGAAATAAATTTCGGATTTTCTTTGCAAATAAATCACATCCTTTCCTAATCCAAATCGTCTAAATAGACCGATGTGCAATCAATAATTCCTGGCATCAAATTGGATCTTCGCGAAAATTTCACTTTCAGGTTAATAAACAAATTCACGAGAGAGAGGGTTGATTTAATTTTCCTTTTCGTCTGATGCATGACCAATGATGCCGAATGCTTCTTAATCGGGGTTTAATTAAAAATAATAAAAGACGCATTATTAAATAATGATAAGATTGGTAATGGTAAGTACAATGTGACGAGATGCATCGCGGAGAACATGAATGAATGGCGTGTAGCACGGAAGGTACACGAGCACAAGACGGCGAAATATGGCTGTCCTGGTGGTCATCAGAGAAAATCGTCTCTTTGCTCCTCCTCGGTATTATTCCGAGGTCTAGGTGGGGGACACCGATGACGAATGTTTAACCCGTAGAACGTAATCTAAAATGAATGATGATGATAATAAATAAAAAAAAAAACTTATCAGCACGATCGAAAAAGATCGGCACATACAGTAATTTATACAATGGGGTAAATTTGGGTTTAGCGACAATCGGAGGGTGGACGTTAATGGGGGGATGGGGTGACGATGATTGCCATATTCCGATAGCATTTTTGGTGCGTGTTAGTAATAACTTTTTTTTCTGCTTGCACCTGAATGGCATTTTGAATGACATTTTGTTTGAATGGTGTGTTTAAATGAATGAACGTGAAATTTAAAATTAATTCGTTGATTAAGATTCGGAGATTCTTTTAAAAAAAAAAAAAAAAACACCAATGCAAAGAATGCGCGCACACACATATTCCGTGTAACGCTGAATGCCCTTTTCACGATGCACCTGAGATAACCCATTACCATCCCATTTCCATTTCTCTGCCATCACCCACCAACACAAACGCCGACACCATCACCTTTGTTTCATGCGCGATCGCCAAAATCGCCTACGTCAAACAATAGGCATGATTTGAGGTTTTTTTTTATTGATAATTTGGATCCCCAATTTAGAAATTCAGTGGTAATAAAAAATGTATCAAATATTTATGAAACGCACACTTGCTATATGCATATATAGAATGCGCGGGTTACGCGTAATTTGCGAGGGGACACCTGGTTGACGGCACGACGTCCACGAATCACAACCATCCGACCTAATATCTCTCCGAGCGCTTTCAAAACTCGAGTTACGTATTGAGTGAAGAAAAAATCGAGGGCGGACGAATGGGCGGAGATGGATGACCCGCTCGTCGCCTCGTTCGAAAGCGTGTCCGGTCACGAATATGCAATTGCATATGTGAATTCATCATGTACGCGTACACCAGCTGTCATCTTGTTTATCCGTGCTTTCTTTTTTCCCTCACAAGGAACCCAAATTCGGATAAATTTCTTTCCTGTTTTAATTCGACTCTTCCACAGATTACGTAATGACTTCATGTCTCTGGCACGACATTCGCTTACACAATCACCTTCCACTTTTTTTCTTTCCCTTGCATCCACCTTGGACAATGATGAGAAAAAAATTACTTGCATCCCACAGAATCTAGCATTTTGCGTGCCCACAATCGCTTCAGCTACACGCATACATTCATTGAGCATACGCCCGAGTACTTCATGACGCATCAATGGACGCATTGCAAAACTCGGGATTAGGTAAACATCGAGCGTTCCGAGAATCGCAACCTCATAACCTTACATGTGCGTGGCGCAAGGGTTCAAGGGCTCTCGCGGTTTCCCCAGATTCCCGAGTGCGCAGGAAAACATGAATGCAAGCAAGTAAGCATACTGTATGTGTAATCTAAATTCCTTTGAAATGAACAGTAAATAAACAAACAACTGATAACAGAACACGGTGACGGGAAGAAAACGAAGGAGAATTATTTCTTCTTTATTTATTTATTTTTTTTTTTTCCCTGATGAATCACAAATCATTGCATGAAAGTTTATCTCGCGCGAAAGCACGACTCACTCGTCGGCACTCATGAACTTTGGATTTCGCGTAACTCCCGGACGCTAGGCAATCTGTGCGAGGAAGATTCGAAGATTCTATTTTGATTTTTTAAGGTTTCTTTCTGTCGAGCAAACAATCTGTATACTGCATGTGGAATATTTAGGTGACATTAGTCTGTGCTATCAACAGGCTTCGCACATATTATACACATACAATGCACATACACACACACACACACGCACACGCACACACGCAGTAACGTGAAATGACGTTCGTCAAGAGGTTGACGTTTGTCGATTTTTTCGGAGGAAAATTTCTTTTGCAGGTTGGACGTCCTCCTACAAGGGAGGCAGGCGCATGATCAAACTACGGTGCACGCGCATTGGAAAAAAAACAGTGACGGGCAGAAATTAAATCAACCATCCCTCCCAAATAATAACAATCACAGCCATTTCACCAAATCAGGTTTGAACCCGCACCTCTATCGCAAAGTCCAACTCCATCTCAAAACCGCCGACACCACGACGAACGGTATCAATCGGTACGCTCACGGTATGCGAGAGAGGCAAACAATATTTTAAAGTAGCATGGCGGTGAATTCCTGCTTTTAATTAAAGTTTTTCTTGCATGGAAACAAGGAGTGCGCGCATACCTGTATCAAAATAATAATCCAAGTATATTTGCTATTATCATTTACAATTACCCCAATTATTATTATTTAACATTATTATTATTATTCTACCCTTTATTATCGTGATTAATTGTTATTATTATTAGTATCATTATTATTATTATTATTATTATCATCACTGTATTATTATTATTATTATTTTATAATAACCATGTTCTAATGGACGGAATCTATTTACGAAAAACGGTAGCGGTACTACTCACGTACGTATAAATCAAAATATCGGATTTTCCGTATTTTACGCGAAGCAAAAAAGGGATAACAAAATGACAGGCCATATAATATAAACATACATACTGTATTATACTGTATATACAGTACATATGTGTATATTTCTTACGCATCACTCGTGTCACGCGCACTTTCGAGGTACACACATCTCAGTTTCCGCCGCGGATAATGGTACGCGCGAATTTTGCATCTCGCCGACATCACCAATCCATTTATCAGCGGAGGGAGTCAGTGTCCGGGTGACTCCTGAAATGTTGTCGTGCGCGATGAACATCTCACACCATCATCACGGCGGGTCCAAGGCGACGGTGGCACGTCATGTGAAGTTATTGCGATCGCAACTTCGATTGATTGATCAATTGATTGATCCATCTATCTATTGTATCTATCTACCGTATCATTCAAGGTTCCACAAGAGTGACCTCAAAAGGTCGATGGCGCTAACGGAAAAATCGGGATGTTATTTATCAACTTCGTTGTTGTTAGGATTAAAGTTAGAAAGTTAAAAATAGACTCCGATTGGGAAAATGCATTTTTCCAAGTTAATAAATGACACCGTCTCACCTACACCCGTTGTACCAGTAGGACCCCTTTATTATTATTTCCATGATAGAGCAAAGGTGACACCCGGTCCAATGATCAATCGACCAATCAAACTTCCCAATTCCCGTTAAACTCGAGATCGGAATATTTGCGTACGATATTTGATTTAATGCCCGATAGGGTTCTCCGTCGCATAAGTTTTTCCAAGAAATTCCCGTGATGCAATAAAATCAAATTTGCAAAATTCGTATGCAAAAAAAAATTACGTTCCACACGTGGGCACATATTCGGCAGTGAGACGAGAGCCGAAGCACAAATCACAAATGTTCTCGGCGTCCTCAATCTCCGAACTCGACCGCTGTTTAGGTTCGCGCACACCGTTCGTTCACTTTAATGATTATTCTCTTTCACGAGGGGATTAAACGCATACGATTCTTTTTCTGCGTTGCGTGTTGCCTTTTTAGGGAATCAGCCAAATGGTTTGGGTATGATTTCGTAAGGTTCGCAGGTGACACGGCTGTTGAGGTGTATGGTGGGTGGCACATGCACGGGCAAAAAAGAGAAAAAAATTGAGCGCGTGGATTGAAGACTTTTTCGGAAAATTATTCGTGAAATTTAGTTAAATTGACATCCTGATGGTTAGCGCTGTGTAAAGAGAGGGCGTTATCACGTACGCACCACAAAAAAAAGCATAATTTTAAATTACAGTCTTTCCCGAGCGACATCCGAGGTTCTCTTGCGTGCGTCATCGCGCAACTCTCGAGTGTTGCCGCCGCTCAGTGCGACTTCGGAAATTTGTAAATTTTAACGTTGATGGATAAAAAAAAAAGAACGCTAAATCACATATGTACTAATCATTACCTAATCAGTCATTTGAAGTTTAGGTCAGTAATAGGGTATTGATTGCGTCTTAACCCGGGGTCAAATATTTGCGCATGGTTGGTGTCACAAAGCGTTTTTTTCGATTGCAGTGCGCACAGTATGTACGTTACCATTGCGATAGAATGGTGGTTTTTCTAAAAAAAAGAAAAGAAAAAAAAGAAAAGAGAGGAATGAAACGACGCACCAATTGAACCCAAAACTGTTCATGACCAATGCAATCGAAAGCTTGGCTTTTTTTTTTTTTTTTTTTTTTTTTTGGTGCGAAGGAAACGTCAAAACCTTTTTTTTTGTTTTGTTTTGTGCACAAGGTTTCCTTCAAATTCGGTTCGACTTATATTGCACTAGGGACGGTTAAAGGTTTGACCGATTGAGGAATTCCCAAATCCATGTGACATTAATTTAACTCTTCTGGGTAACCTTTCACATTGCATCTTGTTTCTATTGATCCCTTCACGAGTTCACCCAACTTCCACTTTAACGTGTGCACAAGTGGAAAATGAGGAGGTTATTATTATTGTTATTATTATTATTATTTTCTTCTTTGCATCACTGATTACTAAACCCTGCACAGATTCTAAAATTGAACGGTCTTACCGTGTTTCCCTGCTTCCCACCCCCAAATGATGATAACAGCATTTTGATGAAATAGTTGATAAGAGAGCTTTTTGATTCCACGATTCACGGATATTTTACCGAAAACGCAATTAATTCCGCGCTTACGCACGTACGCAAGTGAGACCACGACCAATAATTTTTGTGCGACCCACATAAATGGAAAGGCCGAAATTCCCAAAACTCCCTCTGGGCTAAGGTCACTTGTTTCATCGGGCTGTCGTGATATTTCCGACACATACACACACCAATGGCGTCAAAGCTATGTGTCATCAGACTTTATGAATCCCTTCCTTACGTTTTGCGTTACCCTCATCGCCCAAAACCTTGTCCAATCGTTCGTCGCGAATCGAAGAGGGCTTGGATGCTTCCTTTAACAAGTTGAAAATTTGCACTTAATTTTAGGCTTAGAATGTGCGTATACAGTAGCATATGCAGTTGTTGTATCTTTTTTTTTTTCGAGCTTCACGTCATGCGCCGAATTGCCATCCGGTGTCCCATTGGAAAAAAAAAAACCTGAATTTAAAATTCTGCGCCCATCCTGCAAATTTCTCACAATTCTTCGTGACTGCGGCGGCGGTACTCGTTTGAAGCAAGCTTCCAGGAACAAGTGTCCTACGGAAGTTGTTCCCCCACGTGACAATGATAGGTATTGTTACGCGCATACACGGATGCACCGTGCCGCCAGAAAAACCCCAATACTGAACCATTTTTTTAGCGTTGTGAAGGAATAGTGTGTGTGACTTGCTTCTGTTTCGGTAAACATTCACGGGCGGTGGTAACCCTTTTTTAACCCATTTCTCCGGTTTTCAAGTGAAATCCGAACTACCTCAGTACACTGCACATCCAACCCAAATTAAGCCTTTTTTATTGTTTCATCATCGCAGACAGTTGTATGTAATTATGTCGACCTTATTTAAATAATTTCTGATTAGGCATAAATTAATCTCATAAAGACCTCCGCGCGCGCGCTCCACAAAGATTCACTATGTATACATAAAAAAAAAAAGGGTCAAAAGAACTCTTGCCAAAACCGGTTCTCATGCATAATCTGTGTAACGTCTTCCTCGTTACCAAGGACCCACCGTTACGGTACCCTGCTGTCGCAACATACAGTATATCCACCCACCCCACACAGATTTATTTTTATATGATGACACTTGCGGTTAATTGCTTTATGCTCCTATAGTATATATCACATCAGATAGTCTATCAGTATATGTTGTCCCTTCGGGCAGTATAACCTTCCATATTGAGTTGGTCAAAATAAAAAAAATGTTTCGAAAAAGAAAAGGAAAAAGAAAAAAATATATACTGTATGTGTGTGTTGTATATATATATATATACTGTATATATATATATACATATTAGCTGAAATCATAACAAAGAAGGTCCTTATCACCTAACAGGTACACAATTATTGCTCTTCCCATTTTGGAAAGTACTCTTTTTTTTTTTTTTTTTTTTTTTTTTTTTCTAGTGTGAAAATTTTTTTTTTTTGAATAAAAACCCAATTATCCCACGTTCCCCTCATTCTCGTTAAAAAAAAAAATTTTTTTTTTTTCTTTCTCGCACATCGTCAACCCAATATCACGGTTACCACCCAATATAAAAAAAAAAGCTTTTTCTACTTAAATAAGGTGAGAAAAAAAATTTTTTTATATATACTCGATAATTTATTTTGTTTACTTTTACTGGTTTCTTTTTTTTTTTTGGTGAGACAAGTTTATGCTTTTTCATCATAAAAAAAAAAAAAATCCGGCTTTTGCATTATAAAAACCGCCAAAGAATCGATTCTTTACAATTAGCACCTGTATAACTAACTACCCTCTCTTCTCTCAACGCATACACAAAAAAAAAAAAAAAAAAAAACACCCGAATCAACAAATAATTTCCTTTTCTTCATCCTCAACTTGATTAATTGCATTGTGTATAAATACATCAAGTTTTTAAACTCTAGCGAGTTCTGCTCTTTGAACCCGAGTTTGCAAGTTGTGTGTGTCGTCGACTTGGACATTCTGAAATATATAAAGTTCACACAAGGTAATATTAAAGGCACATGGGAACTAAAAAAATCAATCTTTCTTCTTTCGTCCATCCGCCCATTCTTACATCAGAGGATTGATTCTTAGTCTCTTGTTCATCGTTGTCATTGTAATTCGTTTATCCTTATTCTATTTTATTTTTATTATACCTTTTTTTTTTTTTTTTTTTTTTTTTTTTTTAAATATAAACGGTCTGTCAAATACCTGCTCCCCACCCTCCCTCTCTCTCCCTCTCCCCCCTCCCCTCCACCTCTCAATTTTCTCTTTGCACGAAAAGTAAACAAAAACAAATACATAAATAATAAACCAATTTTCATTTTTCATCTTTTTTTCAATTTTTTTACTCAAACGTCTCTTCTCTCTTCTCTCTTACTCACCTTAGTAATAAAAAAATTTTTTTATCTTATTTTATTTTTTTTTCTTTTCCATTATGACAACTCCTACTGCTCAATTCCATTTGCCGTCTTTTGATTCCGCCTACAATTTCTCTGCGATCCAACATCAACTCAATCAACAAAAGCTTCAACAACAACAACATTACAACTTAGCACCCCATCATCAAGAAGCGGCTGTCACAGCTGCCACTCTCGCTTACGTTCAAGCTTATAACAGTCCCCCGAGAGATATCTCCACACAATCTCCTCAACAACATCATCACTCAATCGAACCTTCGGATTTGTTTGCGACCTACCCTTCACCCGGAGAATCTTCGATAATGGCCGAATCCCCGACTCATTCGCCGACAACTTTCACCGCCACCACCAACACCGCCGCCGCCGGCGAGCACAAACCCGTGATTAATGGTGAAGGTGGTTATCCAACGAATTCATCGTATGTATCAAACGATCGCTTCTTTCCCTCCCATCAGTTGTTATTCTCAGAAGGCAGGAGATCGATTGCCACTCGAGAAGTTGAACGAATCGGAAATAACTCATTTCCACGGGATCGATCTCACAGCCTGCCTGCAATTTCCCTCAATTCTGTACGCCATTTTACTCACTTGCATCAACTCGATTCGGCTAGGTATCCCACGGCTCCCTACTCGACATCCACCTCCGCATCAACACCATCATACATCCCCTCCAACGGCATGCACATGGATCGACGATCAAGTCTCGGTGCTAGCGTGCCGGTGTTGCCAATCCTTCATCAGCCTTTTGCCTCTCACGATACCAAGGTTCACAACCTACCTCACCAGGACCTGTCGGCTGCCAATGGCTCGGCCGAGCAACAATGGAACAACAATAATTCCCCATTTCCGTTTGGCTCTTACGCAAAGCAGGCAAAAGGGTTTGATGAGAAGGCGATAGATCCCACCTTCTTCACGGATCCCTCGATGGTCAAACCATCCGGTCCGAGTACCACCGCTCCAATAGGTTACTACGGTCAAGGTTCAATATATGATCGGAATGTGATGTCTCAACACCCAGGTGGTTTTCCCACCCCACAAGATTATTCAATGATAACCGCCGGCAGATTCGCCAACGGCGCCATGAATTCAATGTCCGCCGCAAATGGTAACGGTACTAAGCAATCGCCGAATCAGTCAAGGCCTCCACCGGTCCCCGCGCCTCAAACGATGATGACAACCTTCAGTTCGAAGACCGTCTCATCAACCCCAAAGAGGTACAAGTGCAATGTGTGTCAGAAAAGGTTCACGAGGCCAAGTTCACTACAAACTCATATGTACAGTCACACCGGAGAGAAACGTAAGTTTGTTTAACGTCTCACTTCCGAATACGGAGGTCATTTTTTTTATTATCATTACTCTTTCCCGTCGTTCACACAAACTTACTGATATAATTTGTTTTTCTCCCCTCCCCTCCCCCCATTGTGCATCATTCTGTCGGTCAAATGTCATCCTATTTTTTTTTTTTTTTGAATCTCCTGACGATTGTGTGCTACCATCTTACCCGCGGTGTTACCTGGCTTATCGTGATCACCCCAACCGCCATTGCGTTTTTTTTTAATACCATTCACGGCTTAATCATTGATGCCATTTTAGCATTCAAATGTCCGGTCGAAGGATGTGGTCGACATTTCTCCGTTGTCAGCAATCTTCGCCGTCATCAGAAGATTCACGCGAACAACACTAACAACACCACCACCTCCTAAGGTCCCATGCGCTGTTCACAACGAAAAAAGACGATATTTCCGAAAAAAAAAAAAATAATAATAATTCGTATATATGTGTGTATATGCATATATATATATATATGTATACATTTATCATCACACTTCGTTTTGCAGTAATGAACAATGACTTTTTTTTTTTGATTTGCCCCCCTTTTTTTTTTAGGAAAAAAAAAAAAAAAAAAGGAACCGACAAATAAAATTAGCATTATTTTCTCTCATAGCATCGTTTTTTTTTTTAAAAAAAAAAAAAGGGTTTCTTCCTCACCGGCGTGACTGTGATCCGCGGAATCAACAGTCTCGTTCTCGGCTTTATATGCATGCATGGGCTTGCCTCATTTAAACCATCGATTTTTTTTTCTTTAAATCTCTTTTCATAATTCTTTTGTGTAAATGTCAAACTCTCCTTAAAAAAAAAAAAAAAAAAATTTTTTTTTTCTCGTTATCTATTAACACCGCCATTATATACTTATCGTACACCCGTCTATATATATCATATCTTATTCACGTAATAACTGACAAGTAATTCACACCCAAAAAGAAAAACTCAAGCAAAGTTTACTACTACTACTACTACATTTGACATGTAATAATCAACTCAGAAAAAAAAAAAACTGTAAATTTTTTTTCCATGTATATTGGTCTTTTGTTATATAGATAATCAATCCCCTTTACTTTTTTTATCATTTTGACTTTTTTTTTTTTTTCTTTAAAAAAAAAAAATGATTACGGCTTCTTGCCTCCACCTAATAAAGATTCATTGTTGCACATAAATTCGGATTTATTACTTGATCACGAGAAAATAAAGAAATCTTTTTTCTCCCTTTCGTAAACGTGTTTTCAGGTGATCTTGCATCCATTCGTCGCCGCAAACTTTTTTTCTTCTCAACATACCTTCAGGGGACATCTGTCATCCACACACGCGGTGTGTCTCGTTTATAATTGTTTTTCGGTCCACCTGGATGATCCAGATCTTCGTTGTCAAATGGATGCGCGTTCAAGAAAAATAAAATCATGGGTCCGGTAATCTTTTGACACAAGTAAATAAAGATGCATGCAGGTGGTTGGATTTTCCGTTCGTCAGATCTAAAGATTCAAAACCAGATCTAATGTTTTATTTTTCTTGTTTGTCGATCACTTGTGGTTGATGGTGAAAGTGGCAAATCGGTTCACAAGCAAGTCTCTGTTGAGATCATCGTCGATTATTGCTCTTTCCAAACTCAATTACTGTTGGTGATGCCGTCGCTTGGAAAATCCTCCGATCCGATTATTTTCTCCCTCTCTCTATTTTTTTTTTTTTTTCACACCTGTATTACTCATATTACTCACTTGTTGCCTGTTTTCAACGCCGCAGGGTATCACCAGACCGCGTTAACACCTTCGATTTGGTGAATGATCTGGCTTGACCGCGCGCTCGGGCTTTGCTTGATGAAGCAAAAACGTCGCACCCATGTGCATGTTGTGAGAAACCGCTTTTTTTTTTTTTTGTTTTTTTTTTATAAATGGCCATGATCAATGATGATCTCGCACAAGATTGCAATCGATAATTTGTTCAACGATTTTCTTGCAGAATTAAGTATGCAAAATTGATCTTATCACAGCCTCACTGCGTCTCGTAGTCAACCATGATGGATCATTGTTTTTTTTCCTGATTTATCATTATTACAAAAAAAAATTCTGAGAATCACTATTTCGTAGTGTAAAAATCGCGTGTTACACGCGTCCTGATGTTACAATAACGTGACGTCTATTTTTCGTTCATTCAACATCGAAGGTGAACGTTCGATGATCTTTCCTATTAGAACATTGGAAATTTTAAATCAAAAATCCTATTACATCATCATTGAAACTTTAAACGTGGATCTCAATGTTTGGTAATGAAAGAATGAAAGAATGAAATTGTAAATTATTGGATGAGGATTTGGGACCATTTTTTAAACCAATTTAAAATCCAATTCAATTAATTTTACTTAGATCACACGAAGGGGCATTTTGTTTACTGGCAAATCAAAAAATCGTGAAAAAATTGGTTTCATGATATCATGAAATTTAATTGATAATGATAGGCCCATTATTTCTTGATGTTATAATGATATGTCTTTATTGAGACATTAAGTAAATATCTAATAAGTTACAGACCTTCACATATAAACTAAAAAAAAAAAAAAGTTAATTTAAAAATCAATAGTGATAACCTATCAACAATAATATTTAAATTATTTATTCAAAATTTATTATGAAGAGATTAAAACTCTTTTGAGAATTAAAAGTTATTAACAAGTGCATTAACATAAGATTTAATTTGGTCATGTTATAATTGCTTAATATTAATTATTATAAAAATTGATAGAGATATAAATATACTTACTGGTCTAACTACAAATACTAAAAAAAAAAAAAATTGATTTAAAATTTTTTAAAAAAATTTTTAACTTATTTAATAAACTTTTTTTTTAAAAAATTTTTACTTAATTAAAATATTTTCTGAATTTATGATATTTAAAGAATTTAATCATTTTCGAATAATAAAACTTTAAGAGAAATGTTTGAAAAACTTATTTCTTTATTGATATATGAATTTATATATTATTATTATTATTATCAATATTATATTATAAAAAAGTTTGCAAATAAGAAAGATATATAGTAAAATTAAGTGAAATAAAACTCATATCTATCAATAACAGATAGGCTTTCAAGAATTGATTCTACAAATATCACTATTTTAATACAAATTAAAAAACATTATATGAAGTAAAGATCAGCTTACTGAAAAAAAAAACTCTTTCCGCTGATCCTCAATTTTTCAGAAAATTTCTTTATTTGATAATTTTTTGAGAAGCAAGAGAAACCAGTTAAAAAACAAGAGAAACCACCTTTACAACTAAACAACTTACAAAAACAAGTTCAAGAACTCTTTACAGAATACAGAAAAGATAAGTTTTACAA